TAACACAAAAATAGAAGAGAAATTTTAACAACCAGCCTACTTTACATCAAAGTTCTAATACTTGAATTGGCCAAGATGAAAAAATGACAGGAGTTTATCGTACATCTTGTCTCATCTTCCCAGGTTTCTCGTAGTATTCTTTTATTCAGGCTAGACTGTAGTTGTTTACCTCGCCTGGGCTCTATCAGCGTCCCCAAACGGGAATTGGCAACTCGTTAACATTCAGCCGCACAACTAGAGTTGTCCTGTTTGGCATTAAAACGCGGATAGCGGAAAGCGGAAAGCTTATCTTGTCTTGTAAATCATGTTTATGCAACTCATGTGTGCATACTGTGGCTTTCCGGTACTCTGGCTGTGCGGCTGAGTGTGGACGGTATTCTGCTTGCGGCTCATGAGCCGTCTTTAAGCCCAGCTTTGTGAAATTCCTTTGCCCAATGAAGTCATCCTCTCGGTTCATTTACGAACCTCCCATTTCACACTCGTGCACACCTAAAAGATCTAGAATTATTAAACAGATTCGCTAGTATTTGCAAACGCTGATAAGACGAAATGCTAGTTGACTTCACTGTTCTCAACCATTTATTCATAATTATGTTTTTCCAGTAATTCTTTCACAATAATTAGATTTTAGCACTAAATGTTAATACATTATTCTTTGTAGTGTATAAGTTATAAGCACTCATTCTACCTATCAGTCCCTCTTATTGATGAGTTCTTCTTCATTCACTACATCATCATCACTTCCTAATTTACCGGTGCAACAAATGAACATTTCAGTTAAATGATGTTCTTTTATCGTTCGCATTAGCAACTATTAATCGATTCGTAGAATATTCTACCAACCCACAATTGTTGAACCGAACCAAGGCAAGCAGTACCACCACCATCTTGATATTCATGCCTTCTACCTCTTTCATTTCACGTCACCTCTTTCTTGCCATAAATCCAGATAATTCTACCATTTTCCCCATTATTTGCATTCATAATATTGTTGCTGCCAACATGCTCATATTGAGACCCGAAGTGAATGTGATTGCCAATTAATTCATCCGCACTATTCCCTGTTGCACTTGCATAAATTGTATATCAAATGTCAAGAGTGTGTATATTCTGTTGTTTTTTTCCATTTATCCCACAGATCGCCTTCCTGCTCTATCGTATAAACAGTCTAATGCATCAGTCTAATCCTCTAGACATGCAGGTATACTGCCCAGGATACAATGTGTACCGAAGATCCATTCATTTGGTATCCGGTTTCAATATTGGCAAGAATCCCAATTTCGCCACTTCTGACCTCTATCCTTTTCCAGAACTCGTTCCATTTACCTCATCCAGTGCTGCATTCTTATCCTCAGAGCCCACTGTTGCCTCTTGCCCGAGGCTTGAGGTTGAGGATCCCAAAAACCTGCTGGAATCTCACAAAATCACCGTCAAGAATATGCATTGCCCGAAGAGTGTGAATCAAGCTGAACTGCCGAGTCAAGAGGCCATTCTTTCTGAGGCGTCAGACGAGCAGCAGACCTTGCGTCTGTCCGGTCAATTCAGCTCGTTGGACCACTTGGACAGCTTTCACTACATGGCTCCACTCATGAAGACTTTGCTGTCGGAGTATTCAGAAGTACTCCAGTTGGGACGACTTACACCGAACCTTCCACTTGACTCCAACCGTTTCTACGAGGATTTTAGGGCATACTCCGCCATACCTGGAGGCGAATGGAATCGATTCATCGCTGAAAACGTAGGCATTTTATACTTGACTCAAATGTCCTATCTTGGCCATTTATAAATAGAATAAATAAGAAAAATGTAGAGGTTGTTTGACCTTGTTTTTGCAACTTAGTCATATTGGTAGAAGGACTCAGAGGAGTCCATTGTATGCATGTTCATTTCCAAAGTCGGATCATGGACGTGGTACATTCACAAAGGTCTCGCCGGCATCGTATTCGGCATCGTCAGTGAGTCTTGCTATTCTTAGCACAACACTATAACTCGTCAAAAGAGACAAGTGAAGCCGCTCCTTTGACCAAATGTGTGATAAACAGTTGTGGTAGCTCTCCTTCTGCCCTGGCCTATTCACATTTCCACGATCCGACTTTGGAAATTATCATGCATACAATATGACCAAGTTGCGAAAACAAGTTGAAACAACTTCTTTACAACGAAAGGAGACTGCGAGCACACAAAAGGCCATACCATCTTGGTATTCATATCTAAAATAAAAATATAGTTGGTCTTGGACCCTCTGAACGATTTAAGGATTGATAGAAGTTGTTTGACCTTGTTTTCGCAACTTGGTCATATTGGTAGGAAGACTTATATAAACGCAGCTTGTCCTGAGTCCATTGTATGCATAATTATTTCCAAAGTCGGACCGTGGACGAGGTACATTCCCAAACGTTTCGCCGGCATCGTCAG